ATAGCACAAGAGGAAATGGTCTAAAGTTGTTCCAGGGGAAGTTCAGGCTGGATATTAGGAAGAACTTCTTCACTGGAAGAGTCGTTAGGCATTGGGATGGGCTCCCCAGGGAGGTGGTTGAGTCACCATCCCTGTAGGTGTTCAAAAAACGTTTAGATGTGGCACTTTGAGACATGGTTTAGTGGGTTTAGTGGGCATGGTGGCATCAGGTATACAGTTGGACTTGATGATCTTTGAGGACTCTTCCAACCATAATGATTCTATGATTCTATGATATATCATTTAACATCTGGCATAGCAAGTGCCATACACCAAACAAGAAACAATTGGTTGTCTTACTTGTAATATTTGTATATATTAACCTATTAAATATAAATTCTACACATACTTCAGCATATTTTATTTCACTTCTGTCTTGGAACAGCTCTGAATCAGAGCTAGGCTACAACTTTGGCTTTCCTCTCTCTCTCTGAGTTCACTGGCCCAAGGTTAGGATTGTGACCTCACCCTAAACTGGGTTCATTACCTGTCCTTTTTTATATCTTTCTGAAACTCTTCATCATGATCATTCTCTTTTGGGAGGAACAGAGAAATTAACTGAAAAATTAGGAATCAGATCTATGAAATATTTAACCACATTGAGACATGCTCCTAGGATTCAATAGAATAATTAAGAGTTTTCATGTATTAGTCATTCAGACAATGATGCTTAAAAGTTGTACAGAACAGTAGGAGATGTTCTCAAGGACTTGATCTAGCGCTGTGCTGGTCTCAACTATGTTTCTATGTTCTTTTTCAATGATTCAACCTTTCCTTTATTAATTTCTTCAAATGTCCCCAGATATAATGAGAACTAAGTCCTCGCAACTGTCCTTAATCCTTCTTCTTTCCAGCTCTCTCACTAACTTAAGAGACTTGACAGAACTTTTCCATTAAAGAGCTCAACACTCTACAAGACATGAAGATTCTGCTGTGCCCAGTAGCATGATATAAGGAATGCAAGCTTTTCCAGATTTGCCTTGGAAACAGGATTTCATGCTGTGAAGGACCAAAAACCAACCCCAGACATTTAGGGAGATAATGAGAATGTGGTCTATAATTTAATACTGAACTGTATAAAACTCTTTGTACTTGAATTTCATATGTTTATTAGCTAACAACTTTTGTAACACTTTGCAGTTAACTAAGAATTCTGCCAGCCTTTGCAGTGTGGTTATCAACCTTAGGAACTCAGAAGTCCTCAGCAAATACAGCTGAAAAGAAGGATATAAGGAAGATAGCACTTGAAGGCAACACAGGTGGAGCCCTGTTATCTGCTTACTGCCTGAACACGTACTATGATTGGCTTTGTTTCAGTTGTGATGATTAATAATTACTTATCTCAGTGCAGGACTGTTTGGAGAGTTTAGAGCTGAGACCTTAACTCTCTCTGTCAGAAACTTTCTGTTCATAACATGTGTTATCATAAGCAGTTTGAAATTAAAATTAAAAGCTGCTCACCAGTTCTATCCAGTTTTCTCCCAAATTAGACTAAACAGTCCCAGATGGATATAAACTTACCCTTCCTTCAATTTTGAACTCACCTCTTCTTCCCTGTGATACTCTGCAATGAGGTGGAACGGCACTGTGTACAGCGTGCTGGACATGACGCCAAAGAGGGAACACAGAGCCAGCGTGGAATAGACATTGGGAAACAAGCCAATTAGTCCAGTACCCAAGCCAAAAAGTAGGTATCCAATGAAATAAAGTCCCTTTAATCCTATGTATGGCAGAAGGATTTTCTGCAGGTCTGTGGAAAGAAAGTTAAAATGCTGATAAGACTAAAACAAAACAGGTCTCATGTAATCCTTTAAGGGGTTTTAGTTTGTAAAATGCAATGAAGTAGATAATCTTACTGATTTTGGAAGGTGCCTCAAATTATTGTAGGTATAAACTTGCCAAATACTTGCTCCCTCTGGGGATAGTCTTATTCTGGCATAGCCAACTCCAGAGAAGACGTAGTTAACAGCTGTTGTAGAAGAACTGCCATCATTGACAACCTCAGACATTTCCACTGTTTGATTGTAATGCGAATATTTGGCATCAATCTCTGTCTGACCTGAGAAAGGCGCTAGGGAAATGCCTGTAGTTAAGCTCCAAAGGGGAAAAGATATCTACCAAGCCTCTTTTAGATGCTCAATTCAGTCCCCAAAATGCTGCTTATCTGAGGTTTTGGATCGCAAGTGTTTTTTCTAATCCTTGATAAGAGCTATAGTGAAATCTGTCTGGGTAACTGTGCTAGCATATTTACACATAATTTTGGAAAGCAAAGTTCATGTTTCTGGCAAGAACTTCTACTGCATTGTGAAAGAGTTATTTTATGAGGAATGCAGATGGGGAGAGGCCATCAGAGGGACCTGCAAGAACCTACAACTACATCACTGCTGGGTGAAAGAGCATCTCAGAATGACGCCCATGGCATCCATTTTAGCCTAGCATTTAACTTCAGGATAATTTTCTGTGTTTGGGGTCAGTTCACATGCAGAACAATGCCTTACTCCCAAAGTGACCCCTCATCATGTGGTCAGGAGCTGTTCATGTTAAGATACAAGTTTCTAACAATGCTGAGAATGTAACATTTCTTAATGTTTTATTGTGGAGAAAACCAGTTAATTTGGCATTGCTTTATTTTTTTAAACAATGGCAAATGACTAACAGTTTAAGCACTGTTTCAAAATGCAGTGTTGGAGTACATTCCTGGGTACTTACAAGAATAGACTGACGAAGCAATTGCATTGATGCACAGCCCCCAGCATCCCATCTCTACTCCTGTTTTGTAGGTAAGGTAAAGTGTGGAGTTATGAGGTGCGTAAGGACTACCCTGGTATACAACCTGAAAGAGACCACAAAGATCACATAAGGCAAGGATGGACTGCATGTATATAATACCTCCTTCTTACGCGAGCAGAGTACCCATCACAGGGCCTCATCCCTCGTAGGGGAGGTAATTAGCACCCAAGAAATCTGTTAAGCAGTGCCCTAATCACCCCTCCACAGTTCTCCAGTTTTCACATTAATTTCTCCCAGATTCTCACATCCCAGGCTCCTCCTCGTTTATTATGCTCTGCTGTTTCCTGGACTGTCCACTCTACACTGACTCGTTTGCTTGTTTTCCTTTGGGTGTCTCATTACCCACTCTCCTTCTCTCTCCACTTCTGCCTTCTCGCCTTAGCCTTTATTTCCCTAATTTATCTACAATTAAATGTGTTGTTTTCTCTTTTCAGGCTTACCCCAAAACCCTCATTTTTCCACCCAGTAATCGTCTTATTCAATTCCATCTAGGCAAGCAGAACTTTTTGTTTCAGTTGTTCGTACACACTGCAGGAAAAAAACCTCTCCCTCTCACATACAGACAAAAACAGGCAAGAAAATGGGAATACTGCATGGAAACCACAGGAAAAAGAAAGTGGCAATGAGAGGATTTGTGCCAGGAGCGTATTTGTACCCTGGAAGAAAGGAGGCAGACAGAATGGTATAGGCAAGAATCACTGGCAGGAACATACAGTCTTACTGCCTGGGAATGGCATGGAAAAGGGAGCAGTGGGTATCACAAAGGTAAATAATTGCTGGCAGGAGGGACTTAGGGAAAGGTTTAAAGAGGTAAGGTGTGAACAGCCAAATTCAAGGAGAGAAGAGCTTTCAGCTACCAAGTAGTTCACTGTGTGCCGAGAGCTGCAGAGCCTGAGGTCGGGGATGCTGCGGCTGTGTCGGCAGTGCCCGTGCACCAGCGCAAGGGCAGCTGCATCGAGCAACGCCAGCACTACTTTAATTAGGAAACTGCCCATCTCGGAGCGGCTCCAAAGCCAAAGCAGAGAATGGATGCGTTTGGAACAGCTCCGAGAGCCTCATTTGGAACTGTTAAATAGACACAAATAGCCTTACAGATACTAAAAGGTTTTCCCCAAAGATCCAACAGACTGGCTCAGAACAAAGGCCTGAGATCAATTAGCTGTTTTGCAAAACTCTTGTTGAGCCATGCAGATACAATTGGCTCTGCCACCACTGTCATTTCTGCAGGATTATAACAACGTCTCATTTCTTTTTGGTGGATGAGGAGGTGCTATGAGGAAGGAGAAGCAAGAGGGTTTTAAGCTTTTACCTGTCCCATGAAATCCGTGAAGAAGAGCATGTTGGACAGGAAAGCCATCCATCCAAAGAGGTGGCTCACACACAGATAGCGATAGTGGGATGGCATACTTAAAAGTGTCTTCAGGAGTGATTTAAGGGTCATCCGCCTTTGATCCTAAAAGCAAGTATTTAACAATAAAACTGTATTATTTCCTTGAAGGCTAATAAAATAGCTGACAGCTAATGAAAAAGGCCTCAGCATCTTTTAATTTCTAAACGTCCAAAGTTTTTTATTTTTTGTTAGGAAGGGTTGCTTGGGTACTGAGTGTCCTTCACTATATGTTTGATTTGTAGAACCATTGCCTAATAAAGTCATCTGAAAGATTCACAGAGACTCTGGGAGAGCCAGAGTATATCAACAAGGATGTAAGATTTCTTGTTCTTGTAATCAGTACGATTATTAATTACTTTTCCGGCAAAACAGATTCAGTGGAGTTTCAAAAAAAAACCCAAACAAAACCAGAACAAAAATAATTTCTTTATGGAAACAATCAGGTCTACATTGAAAATAGAAAGCTACCATGGAAAAAAACGAAACTCAAAACACTTCCTGAAAATTAAAATGTATCAACTGTGGAATATGGCATTTCTGAGACATTGTTCCCATTCCTTTCTATGTGCTAAATTCCCTAGAAAACTTCACGTCTTCTGGCATATAATGAGATTTCCACTAGAAACTGTCTTCCCCTCCATGAAGCAGGGAGACACTGTGATAGATCACAGGAGATGCAGCACCACTCAAAACTCTACCACCCAGAGAATGTGAGCTCCACCACCTGAATGCCTCATCCCATGGGAGAAATAACTAATTTCAAAATCAAAACGTTATTGGTGATGGTTAACAAATCGCAATGATGGGGAAAAACAAAATTTCTCAACATCTTCAATGCCCTATCTTATCTCCCTCCTCCTTGTCTGAGCCCTGTGCCCCAAAACTCCGCGAGTTTCTTTTCCAGTCACATTCATCAGGTCACTTATATTACTTGAGTTTTATTTAGTATTGTAGGTATGCTCAATGTCAGGCCTTTGCGACACACAATTCCTACTGCTTTAAAGCTCCTGTGTGTTTCTTTGCTTCTAAAGAAAAAAAGATGTTATTTCATCTGTGCATGATGGAACACTTCTAATTTTCTCTAACGATGTTTGGAGGCAACAATGTTGGGAGACATGGTGAGGGAAGCTGTATGGTCACACAATGTGGAAGAACTATAAATGCTATGTTCATTACTGGAAAGCTGAATTTTGTCTCCAATGTGCTGTAAGAAAATACCATTTTTTCCTTCACTCCTTCAATATTCTACTTACTTTTCACAATTCTGCATTCCTTTGAACTAGGTTATGCTGCAAGCTACTCTATGAATAATCACCGCAAAGTTGGAAAATACTTTGCTCCAGTCGTAGGTTTTTAATCCTCATAGGAATGCCAAAATTCAAGTTGCTGACTTTCACCTTGAACTGTATATTGTCCAAATCCCTTGGAATTTCTCTTGGCATCACTGTCTCTTTTAAACAGGATAAGCTTTCTATTCTTCTACAGTTATAAAAAACAACCAAAAAAATTCCATATTGACTCATTAGTGTTATTTCAAGGATAATTACTATTGTTTGAGTTGGCTATTTGATTTGTTCAACTCTTCCACACAGTACTTTAAAACAGCCTTTCCAATCAAAGTGTTAACGTAAGGTCAGGGAACTACAAAGGACACTGCTGTAATTACAAACAATAATTTGACAGCTATATAGAAATGCTTGCTTTCTATTTAGATATTTTAGTGAGCAGAAATGGAAACTGAAATGTTTACTGCACACATTCAACATACACCAACACACAAACCCCACACTAATTTAAATGACATGCTGAAACTTGGCTCTGTTTAAGTGCCTTATCCTTCAAAAGCTCACAATACTCAATCATTTTCTCTTTAAAATCACTACAACTCAAGGCCTAAGATGATTCATAAAGATACAGAGGGATCAATATGACTTGGGTTTTATGGCAGCAGATCTGAGTAATTTGGCACCACACTAAAGAGCAACGGACTTTGGATGTCTGTTCATACTACAACAGGCCAAATCTCATTAATAATCATGGTAGCTATTAGCATCTTAGAGCACAGTCCTTAATTTAGCAGATATAGGGCCACGATGCCTGCAGCAAAAAAAAGAGACACAGAAAAACAGGAAGCCAAACCATTTCTTCAAGGAAGCAATTACAGTAATGAATGAACTCAGAAAACACGTGCCACAAGAGACAGACCACTAAAGCAGTGAGTGTCTAGAATTTATACATGACCAGGCACATCAAAGAAACATGAGGCAGATCAAAGCACTGTAAGCCTCTGACAGGCGGTCCAGCTAAAAGCACAGAGAGGAGGGCAATGGCAAAAGCTTGCCCACAGTGGACACCAGAGCTTCACCCTGGGTGTCAGACATCACTGATTCACTGGAATTAGTTCTTGCCAAGGTAGAGGCTACCCGAGTCCACAGTCTGCTCCCCTTGCTTTCACTGCGTCTGCTCTTTCTTTTTCGTTTACCTTCCTTTCTTTAGAGCCCACATGGGCCAAGCAGTCAACAACACTCAGCATCTCTGACAATCTGGGTGATGCTTAGACTGAACAGTGCTGGTGAAGGATGCTGGCTGCTCAAGTTGGCCTACGGTGGGGCAGCAGGGACAGTGTTGCAGCATGCTAGCCATATTCTCCCGACAAACTGTTGCTCTGCTGTCTGCCTCTCTCTGTGTTTGGCATTCTCATCAGGTAGTGTTCACCTCTTATTCTACCTTTGTGTTGTATCTGGTGTAATAGTATTTTTCTTTGGGTTAGGAATACCAAGTGCTATTATAGTACAATGATAAACAGTAGAAGATAATAAATCCCTTTTATTTGTACCTAGGGTACCATGAGAGTGCAGTGAGGATTCCTAGCACTAAAAGTCATCAACAAAACAGTAAAAACTATTATCTGTTCCCAAGACCATCCTAGAAATGTGCTCTCCAGATATTTTTCACGTAGATTTACTTTTTCCTAGTTGCCTTAGATTGAAGCAATCTCTCATAAAAATGCAGCATAAACAAAGTAACAGTGATGATTTGAAAGTATTTGCTATTCTCTTGCATATAAAAGTTCTGCCAAAGGCACAGCTACAACATCACTTCAGAATAAAACTAAAACTCCAGAAGCAAGGTAGCATTGCTGTAGAAGTAGCAATTTTAAACACATCAGTACTGTCAATAAATCCTCAATGAAATGTTGAGCAGCAGCAAACCCAAATGTTTAGACCAGGGAACAAACACTTCATACATACTATGTATGAAAGTGTGTGGACTTCAGTGGGAGTTACAGATTTATATCAAAGATTAATGGACTGTAGTCCTTGTCCACAATTTGATGTGAATTCTATCAGGAATAAAGGACAAAGTAGATCCTCTTGACAAAATTCACATGAGGAGGATATCAAGAGACTGAAACAGAGCAGAAACCTGAACGTGGTTCTCCCCCATCCCTGCCAATTGTTCAAAGCATCAGGACCACTCTGTCTCATCCCTCTTGCTGGAAATACTTTATAAATAAAAAAAGAGAAAAGAAAGCAGGCTTCCTCCTGACCCTGTATCCTGGTGAAGGATTCTTTTTCTTTTTGTGTGAAAGGGCTCCATTCCAAATAGTCAGCATTAGCTAATTAAAGGGTCTCCAAGGATACAATGATACGGCTTACAAAATTATCTCTGCACTTACCTCTGTACATGACGTAACAGCACATTTCCCTGGTTTAGCTGCAGCCTTTATTTCAGTACATGTTGATTTTAAGTAACCATTCTTGATTTCCTCCTCTATGGAGCTATATTTATAGGATTCAGTTACTTCCAACAAGAACTTTGTCTCTTCATTTTCATATCTAAGTGGGACTTCAGGAATACTGCACAGATGCACGATAAGGCAGATTAGGAAAACCAAGGCTGCGAAGAAGAAAATCACCTGGAATTCTGATGCCAAGGAATATCCTAGTACAGTTTGACCCCAATCCACAGCACCTGTCAGGTAACCTAAGGCTCCTCCCAAACCTGCAGGGGTGGGAAAAAAGTGGAAAAAAGAGCTACTGGCATTGGTAAAATAAAAATACAGTACACAATACCTTCAACATGTGATCCCCCCTAGAAATGACTGAATAATCACTCTTCAGATATTAATCACAAGAAATAGGAAAACTGCGCTAATCACATACATCACCAGTTACCAAAACATCTCTTGAAAAATCTCCTCAGCTTTGGTGAACAGAGCTCTCCAAAAAATGCCTGAACATATAGCAACATGGGCCTCCATCTCTTTTCTTGACTCTTTGAAGCTTTATTTTCTTTGAAACAGTGAGTAATACAAAATAAAATTCTACTGAAATTATGTACCTCACCACTCAGAAAAGAAAACAAAAAGGATCAAATACAAATCTGTAATTCTGTTTATGGATTTTCTCAGAAAAAGTTAGAATAAAAGGTAAAATAAGAATGCTACCTTGTGTCTTGAAGTTAATAAAACCTGCGTTCAGTCTGGCTTTTTACAATCTCTTCTTTTTGTTAGTAGTGCACCCAGTGTCAGCAGCACAAGGGAGTGCACGGTGTTACCCACAGCACAGAGCTCTGGCAGGGGAAGCAGAGTCCTGGCACCCGGTTAAGCAGGTGGCTCTGCAGGACGTGGGAGTGAAGCAGGATAGAAGCATTTGTAGGACTTCAAAGTATTTCTACTCTTCTGCTTAGGAGAACTGAAGACAATGTGAGGCAGAACCATTCTGTCCAACAAGAAGTAACACTAGTAACAGGATCTACATTTGCTTCACCTACAAAACATGGGATTTGGATTTCATTCTGGGCTTTCTGTACTTTTTTTCCCTCTTGAGTCTGATTATGGCCTTCCTTCGTTGTGTCCTACTGCATTTTACAGGGGACTCTATCCTTGGTTCTTCTTATGGAATCAATTAAGCTGTTAATAACTTTTTGAGGAAAACCTACACTAGATGTTTGCACAGAGTGAATGTTTGATGTTTGAGGTCATCTTTGCATACTGTTTTGACAAAAAAAGCAATCATGATATTGGAATGCAGTCTGAGTGTTGTGTGTTGGATATGTGCACTCTTCCTTCCACTTGTGTTGGTGGTCATAAGTTTCATAACTGCAAAGCTATCCAGTTTCATGTTCAAACCTTAAACCCATGACAAACTGGAGAGCAAAGTCTTGGAGATATTTAGTATAAAAAGAAGGAACTAAATAGGGGAAACAAAATAATATCTAAAACAGAAGCTAGAAAAGAAATGGGAAGATTGCTGACTGTGTCTAACAGGGATAGAACATGGAATGATAAGTGCCTTGGGAGGGCTGCAGAACCCTTATCAAATGAGGATTTCAAGAGCAGGCTAGGTAATTACCCATCGGAATGGTTAATATAATGATGATCTTGCTATAAAGGGCACAGGGTGACAGACCAAATAATGCAATCTCTTCCAGTTTTATTTGATGTGATTTGTCCCACATCCCTTTCCTCAGCTCAGTACACAAATGAATCATCTAAATCTGTAGCTCCAAATTTGGAAATCAAGCCTTTTTAGTATCATCGAAGGAAAAATTGCAACCAGATTTCTGTTGAAGGCAAGAATATACATAGAGACTCACTCCAACTCTGTCGAAACAAACGATTGTTAAAACTTTTATGTGTCAGCTTCTGATGGATAATACTGATTTCATTCCCATGTGGCTTTCAGGTTCCCTTATAATCTGTGTTCCTGGACACAGCTATTTCATTTGTTCAAAATCAGCTTGTTGTGAACATCTGCCAAACCTCTCTCCTCAATTAGAGTAACTGCCACTGAATCTACATCTCTCTGCACTTGGTACGGCTCAGTAGCCACGAAAATCTGCATCAACAGAGATTGCGTGACTTCTCGTCTAGTCTGCTTTTTGTCTAGTCCTTTCACAGTGACTGCTCTCAGATACGGCTAGAAGCTCCTCCTGATTCACATTACAGGTACACAGCCTTATGTGCCTTCCCTGTGCATTTTCTCAACACGGGGCTCATGTAGTGCAGAAGGCTCCCTTCTGTAACTCATCAACATTTCAAACATGTATAAAGATAAATGAAGCTCTTACTTCATTTGCAAGAGTCCAGACTGAATCACTTGGACTTATTTTGTGGAAGTTGTGAAGTTCTGCACTTTACACAGAACTCCTATTCCTATACAGGAAGGCAGCACATATTGGAGCACTGCTGAAGAATGGAAATCAGCTGTTCTGGTTTGTGCAGCTCTTGCTCTATGTCACATGCTGAGTCAAAAATGTTATTTTTATGTGCTATGGCAAAGAAACAAGTCACATCCCTTAATTTTTTTCTTCACCAAAAACTTGAAAAAAATCAGAACAAGCTGAATAAGGACTACTTCACTTTTTAAATAATTCATTGTTCATACTCAAATTGTGGCTATGTCGCTGTAAATGTTTATGCCTGCAGCCTTCTGCAGCAGAATTCTTGTAGCAGCAATCACAAGTTGCTGTTCTCCGGAGTAGTGAAAACCCAGCAACAAAACACTCGTGACTGAAGTGTGGGATCAGATGATCAGTTCATTCAAGATTAGAAACACAGTGAGGATAAAATCCATGCAATTACCTTCCCCTCCTTTGAGAGGTAGGGAGGAAAAGAAGGGATCTGAGTACCTGTAAAGAGGGCGTGGTAATGCAGACCCTTCTCTTTATCCTGGTGACAGCAGACATCAAATAAATACGCTTTGATGGGGCCATCAATAAAATCAGCTGCAAAATCAAAAAGCACTACTCCCAGCATGGTAATGACTATTGCCCACGTCCGCTGCTTGTCTCTCTCACCGATGAAAGCTACAAAAAGAAAAACACCCTCATTCTGACAGCAACAGTGCCATGTTTTGCAAAACCACATTTTATCTTTCCTGACACCTCCAAATCTAAACACTGCTTAGTTAGGCAAGAGAGAGCAGTGACCCCAGAATCACATCAGAGCAGCAGGGTAACTGAGTTTGCGTAGTGCTGAGGTGTGCTAAGTTGACTTACTGCCTTGAGTCAGCGCAACCTCTGGGTACTCCAAGCTCCACAATCAAGAGCATCACCAGTCTTCATCTGCTCCTTCGCACCTCCATGGCATGCTCTGGTAGCCTAATGCACATGCATTTTGTAGTACTTTTTTGTTCTATTCTATTTGTCCCACCTTTCTATTGTTTTAGATAATCAAGAGTTGACTGTAACATCTCTTTTTGGTCAAATGAACAGAAGTATATTCAACACCAATGATATCCAGGAAGAGAGAATAAATCAATTCAAAACACCACACACCTCCCCCCTCTGCCAAGTCATAATGATAGCAGTAACTTTCCATCAAGATTCTGAGAAGTTACATCGCAAGCTGAAATATAACCATATCTAGGGACGTCACTCCTATTTGATTTTGCGCATTCCAGGTGCAACACTGTTCCCAAGGAGTTGCAGATTTCTATTATTCACCAGCATAACACAGTCCTGAGTCAAGCCAGTGCTGCAATAATTAGATAGGTATTTTAAATGCTAATTCATCTAAAACAGGGATTTATGGATATTCATAGAATCATAGAATCGTTATGGTTGGAAGAGACCTCAAAGATCATCAAGTCCAACCATCTACTCAACACCACCATGCCCGCTAAACCGTGACTCGAAGCACCACATCTAAATGTTTTTTGAACACCTCCAGGGATGGTGACTCCACCACCTCCCTGGGGAGCCTGGTCCTGTGCTTAATGGCTCTTACAGTGAAGAAGTTCTTCCTAATATCCAACCATTCCGTTTGGATGTGTATTACATCACACAAATGATACTGATTATTTAAAGTAACAAGGTAAACTTTAGTTCGTAGAAACTCCCCTGGGCCTAAGCAGTGCTTTATTTGTACGAACTGATCAGGCAACCACACCAACATACAACATACTGCAATCAATCACATGCAGAAACTACAGAACACCATGTGCTGGGTACCTAACGTACAGTGTTAGGACTGAACATATATGAGGATTTCAGTGTTCCCCAGCTCCTTCAATGCAGCCAAGTAACAGGATACCCAATTCTAACAGTCCCTTTTAGCAAGGAAAAAAGGAACCCCTTTCAAAAAAAAGGTTAGGATGAGTTTTGTCTGTGAATACAGCATATGCCCCTCACTCACCTGAGATCATCACGTCCCCATTGAGGTACAAAGCCATGCCTAGCAGCATGATGATGCCCAGACCCAGAATGTAAGGTCGTCTCCTGCCCCAGTGACAGGTGCAGTGATCACTGGCTGAACCTACCACGGGCTGCAGCACGAAGCCCAGGATAGGGCTGATGAGCCACACCAGGCTGTAGAGGTTCCTGGGCAGCCCTACGCTGAGCAGCACTGGCGTGACAAAGGCGGCCTCCACGGCATAGCAGAACTCCCGGCCAAACATCGCCATGCTGTGCATGACCAGCCTTCCCACTGCTTGCTTCCTTGGCACCACTGCTCCAGCCTTCATCACTGATTGCAGCAGAGCCTCCTCCTTCCCGGTGGTGCTGTCCATGTCAGCCGTGGCCACCTCGGAAGGTGGTGGAAGATCCCTGTGGAAACTCTCTTTCGTTAAGGTCATCACTCTTGCTACGTGCAGCGCTCTGGCAAGTTGGTGCTGCCTGCTCCAGCTGACATGGAGCCCAGATCATACGCCGGGTGGGATCAGTCTGTGCTGGGGGAGGGACTCACATACTTTCATGGCTCTGTGATCACAAGTTATGCAAGAAAGGGGGCAGGGAAATGTGTGTTAACATTAGCAGATCAGAGCTCCTGGGTGTCCACAAAGCTCTCAGCTATCCACAACTAAAAAATTACTGTTTTAAGCATGAAACACAAACATAACAGGACCATACATCACAAGGGCAAGGCGCAGGATTAGCGTGACACAAAGCTGTTCCTCTTGTGGCTGTAAGACAGCGGCGATACCAAGAATCTGGACCCCTCATCTTTCTGTTCAGCAAACATGAGCACCAGAGAAAAGTGCCGATCTCTTGTTGCCCAAACAGGGTGTCCTGGTTTGGCTAAAACAGA